GTCTGAGTAAAGTCAAGTATTTATTTATAATATATATTTACTTAGTCCCTTCGTTTAAGTTAGTAGACAATTGTAACCTTTTTTTAAATCTGTATATTTTTATTTTAAGTTCTCTGTTTTTTTTTTGTTTATGATTATTTATTGTTTACATTAATTTGTTTCGCCTACCTTCGTACATCTCATTTTCTTAACATTTCATAACTTTAGGTTGCCTGGAAGAGATCGCTTGTTAGCGATAAGGCCGCCCATTGCTCTCCATTCTAGTATATAAGTTTAATTTGTAATATTTTTGGTGCAACGAAGAATATATAAATAAATAAATGCGTGTATAAGTTGTTTAGGAACGCCTATGAACTAACTAGACTCCCAACACGTCATAGGAACTAGCCGAAATTGTGCTATGAGTGTAAATTCCCTAGGCACAAGACATAAATTGTGCAGAATATGTGTAACATTAAGCGAGGTCTGCGCGCAGTTTGTTGGGATTTGTAGCTCGTTAGGTTGTCTTATGGTTGCGGTCAGGTCAAGTTGGTTAACCAGCTACTAACTACTTATCTATACATATTGAAGAATAACCAACTTACTGATAACTCTCAAGCAGGTTAACAAGTGATGGGTACCACTTGTGAGGTTGAGGCTTTGATTCCAGGTCGTACCACCAAAAGGAGACAGATAAACATGGAGTTGGCTTGATGAAAGGTCAACCCAGCCAAATAACATCTCAAGATGTGTTGCCGGCCTATTTTGGCTTTGCCTTCGGTAATCCACAGATTGCAACTGATAAACTAAACTTTATTTGTGGACAGTGCTTCGTGATCCGGTGGATGTCGTTATTTGATAATCAGATTTTCAGGAGTCTAACATGTTACAGACAAAATATAAATTGATCAGAAACATGTACCTGGTGGGGTTGAATCACGATCCGTTTATTAGAAATACATTACTACCATTGGACCATCGAGTATATCAAATGTACAATGTGGTACGTGCTCTTTAGTGAATGTAAGTATATTTATAATAAAATTTAAAGACGTGACAGATCTGTCACACGTCATCAGTCTACAGGAGTCCCAGCAGTGGAAACGGTAAAAGGTTTAGTCATAACGAGTGCTATGGTAAGAAAATTTCCAAGCTTTTTAAAAATAAAATTATTATTTTATATTAATATTGATTTTTCAAACATGCTTGAAAATTTGAGCGGTATTTTGACAATCTTTGAGATAAATTGAACTTGCTGGTCGAGCAGCGGCCGACAATAATTAAATGTAAATCCATAACTGTCGTGTTTAATGTGTGGTGAAATAAATTACTATGTAAAATCATATATGTCGTGTAATTTAAAAATGTAACGACCGTCTACTCCACAACATGGCGACCGAAGAAGTAACTAATCAAAGGTTTAATTTTTAATTTAAATTTCGAACTGGCTCGCACATAATAAGCTGGTTTGTGAAAAAAATACTTTGGCGCGTAATATTCGATTGTCATGTTCGCGATCGGTTTTAAAGTTCCGATTTGAGTAACTTGGTTTTAATTTCTGTGCATTATTTTAGATAAGTACTGTACAAACCTTGGCCGGAGCTAGGCATCAAAGCCGACCGCTTCAGTACTATTCTATTCTTCGTTGTAGATATAGTCATGTCTTTCAAAATCACCGAGATTTACTTTGTTGTACAAGGGACTTTGACAGAAATGATGGAATTACATTATTATTCCAGTTTCGATCCTATTAATAGTTCCGATATTCTGCCCACGCCCAGTACGCTGGCAAAGATATTTGAATTTGCGCTGAACTTGATCACTAATCGCGTTTGCGTCGCTCCGAACTTCTAATGCCGTCGTGTACGGAATTATGTTTATATATAACTTTGACATAAAAATTATCTGCTAGTATATTTAAAACCTTTAATATTTTGCACATGATGGCACTATATAAATAAAAAATCGATTATTGATTGAAAAAATTTACGACTCGGGCAATCAGACTCGGCAGCTCAATTAAAAATTTAACAATAAGCGGAAAGCGCACACGCGCTTATACAGTGTTGCCCTTGCTTCTAAACGAGTTAGGTGAAGACACACACAGTAAAATGGTAAATGATCTGGCATGAAGCAAGGTAATACTTAAGCCGTTTTATGCTAGGTATTTATAGATTATATATTAATTAATAATTGAAGATTCTTTAACCTTTTTTATATATTTTTATTTTTTAAATAAATTTTTGTTATAATGTATTCCGAGTAACGGATAAAAATCCGTCATAACGATTAAAAACGGTTGGTTTTTGTCTACAAAATAAATTTAAAAAAATGGTTAGAGCCACAGCACGGAACGCTGTAGATGATTTTTAGTTTTGCTAGAATATTATATGTATAGATGTTGAAGGGCGCGTATAAGAAAATAATGTATATATAGTTTGTTAGTTTATGTGTAAATAAATACTTTAAATCTTTTTCCGATACGTAATGAAGTATTGTCTGTAGTTTACGCGAGTAGTAAACATTTAGATAACATGATGTTAACGGTTTAAAATGCGAAATGTATTAGTAGACATATTTACAATTTATTATAACAATTTATAACTACAGTCCCACGTTCCGGCTTTGCATAGCGCCATGACTATGTTAACTAATGCATTTCACGTTTTAAACCGTTAAAATTGATTTTATTTAAATATGTACTTTTTTTATGTAATGTAATATTACTTAAACATTGCCTCATTTTGTTTGAAATAATAATCGAACGCTTTTGTTTTCATTTTTACTTTATCATTAACCAAAAACATAGTAGGTATTTCCTGTAGTTTATCTTATATTTGTTTGATTCTTTGCAAAGTGTGCAATGTAAGCGTAAATTCTAAGTAATAAACTAATACAATACGCGTTTAAAACCGCTAAAAGTGTTTTATTCTAATTATACAAATATATACTTTTTAGTGTGTTATAGAGCTTGAGATCGAATCAATCCATTTTTCTTCTTTACTTTAAAAACTCTCTAAAATGTCGTTTAACCGTCTCACGCAAACTAACGATGAGATGCAAACGCGAGCGAGATAAACTGTGTCGTCATCGCACTGTATTAAATAAACGCAAGTAACGCTACGTCACGGGGAAGCAATCTGACGTCTCGTGACCTGTTGCATGCAAAATTTCACCTAATGTCATTGAGGCAACCGACCGCGCTATCAGATTTCCACGCTAATGAGCAAGCGGACGACTCCCATACTTTTAACTTTTATTAATCCTCGACGCTGAGGTTGATGGCGCGGAAAATTAAAGATTATCAAGTTAGCTGCTTGAACTTTATTATGCACTGTTATATGATAGAGGACGTCACTTGATGGTAGGTCAAATACTACATATAACATCTAAAGATGCTCTGTCGTCCTATTGACCTTGGACATTTGGAAATCCACAGACTGTAACCGAAAGTCGATTAAAATTCACGGTTCTTTCAGCCGTGACCCGGATTAATTTCGATATTCATTTAATATCCAGATTTTCAAAGGTCCAACATGATCCAGAAAAATTATAAATTGATTAGGAACAGAATTTAAAAATCAAAAATAAATGGAAAAAATTTTCGACTCGGGCAGGACTTGAACCGGCATCGTCAGCGTTCCGGCTTACGAAGCCGGTTCAAGTCCTGTCCGAGTCCAAATGTTTTTCAGTTTGCCTTCACGTGCAATAACGTGTAAAAAATAATAAAGTTTTCAAATGATTAAAAACATGTTGAACTAGGTGAGCATCCAAGCCACGACCCGTTATTACCCACACATTGCTACACCAACACGCTAGTCAAAAAAACCCGGTTCAGAGAAAAATCGATGACACGGGCAGGACTTGAACCGGCATTAACATCTATCCGTACTGTTCTAACCATTAAGCTACCGTTTCCCACATCGTTATCGAATAAAAAAAATGAGTACTCGGGCAGGACCCTAACCGACATCGTCAGCGTTCCGTGCTCAGACTCGGTAGCTCAATTGGCTAGAGACTTAATTTATTAAGAGCCATGTAAAAAACAGTAAAAAACAAACAAACTTTTCAAACTACCTCAAAACCATGAGAAACTTCCAGATAAATTAAATTCGACACAGCAGGGGCGCTACACAAACCAAGTACATTTCTTCTTTATAGTTTTTTTATACAATATAGTAAAATAAAATAATTATTTACAAAGAGTGCAAAGGCGGCCTTATCGCCTATGGGTTTCCAGCCACCCTTTGTTAAAGATTAATGGTAAAGAACGATGTAATAAAAGATATACATCTTGGCGGTGCTCATTAGGGCTGATCATCAGTTCTCTCATTACGGGAACCAATTAGCGCGACCCGGATAACGGGTCCTGTAAATTATTGCCTATTTGTAATGCTGTTATACTGATGCCCTAGGACTAAGGAGACAGGTATTAATAGCACTTGATGTATATATATCGCGTTATACACATCCTACATCTATACTAATATGATGCCGCTAGAGGCAGAGTAGCCCAATTGTAATAAAAAAATAACTGTACATTTGAAAACTTTAATATTTTTGACATGTTGCTCATGATGGCACTAAATAATTTAAAAATCGAAAATAATTGAAGAAAAAAATCGATTCAGGCGCGACTTGAACCTGCATCGTCTAACCTGACGCTTGGATCAGAGCAACTGCATTGAACTCTCGCGATGCCGGAAAATAAATTGCGCATTTTTATTTTCCTCCTTATTGAAAATCATGTTTTGTTATTAGGCCACTGTGTCCCTAGAAGGCTCATAGTTTAGTTGAAGAGTTTGAACGCGCTAATCTTAGGAAATACGGATCGAATTGAAAAATTCAATAGAAGCGAAGAAAGAAGAAAAATATTTTGAAACCCCCTTTTTGTAGTATGTTTGCGTAAGTACGAGTAGCCTTTTCTCAGCATCGTGTGGACGAAAATTTTACAATTTATTTCTCCGTGGCAAGGGTATAGATATTTTATGGCAGGGAAAGTTCGCTTCGGACTTCTTTAATCATCGAGCGAACGACGGTAGACTCCGTCCCGACACGTACGAATTTCCAAGTTTGTTTTCAGCGAACTCTTGTCGCACTCGAAACTTATAAAAGTAAATACACTTTATAATTCACTTTGAGTAAAGTCTATTCGAAAACTTGGGGGGCGGATTCTAATTGTAGACTGTGGCTATTAGTGATTTGTTATCTGCTGTGAAGTCATTCTTACAACTCTATTAATACAACTAAGTATAATATAATATGATGAAATTTAAGAATCAGTTCTCCGAAATAAATCAATTTTAACGATTTAAAACGCGAAATTTATTCGTAATAACTAATATTATCAGTCATGTATTATATATTTTTTGTGTTTCAAACCGTTAAGAGTTTAAAGTATATTAAAATATGTACAACTCGGGTAAACTACAGACAATAATATTACGAATATTATTGTCTGTAGATTGTGTGAGTAGTACACATTTAAAACACTTTAACGGTTTAAAGCGCGAAATATATAAGTTGTACTTCTTTACTCATTCTATTTAAAAGTCTGATTAAAATAGAATAGTATCGAATAGTTAAAAATAATTTGTAATTGTTAAAATGTTTAATTTGAATACGTTTCGTTGTCCTAAGAGTTGTCTCATACACAATTTATATCAAAACTCATGGCCATGTTATTAATAATAATAAAACCTTATATTATTAAGTAAACATATTTACACCAAAGGAGAACATGACACTTGAAATATTGTATACAAATATTGGTGTAAAGTGACCTTATCGCCTATAGCGATTTCTTCCAGGCAACTTTTGCATGTAGAAAGAAAAGCGCACTTTACCTTGCCAACGCCAGTAGGCTCCTTAACTCCTAGTCGTCGTAACAATGCCGGGGGAGGAGGCGGTGGCGTTCGATGTAGGGCTCCACTGAACCCTGTAGTTTGAGGCTCCTCCTCCCGACGCCTTCGCTCTCTGTGTGGCGAGCCACCACTGCATTTCGGTGTTCTGAAGACAAGAAATACAATTGTGATGACTTTGATAAACCAGCATATACAATTCTTTTTTACGGTAGTAAAAATGTTCTAACACATTTACATTTTACATTTACGGTTTAAAACGCGATTTATATTAGTTAGAATAATTTTCAAATAAATTTAACTAATATATATCGCGTTTTCAATCATTAAAGTTATATAAATAAAAAATAGTAATCCGTTATTTAATTGTGTTCTACTCGCGTAAACAGAGAGACAGTATGTTCTAGTACAATTTAACTTCGGTAATGTCCCTAAGTAACAAAGTAAGTAAGTAAGTAAGAGAAAGAATTATGGTCAACATAATAATACAAATTATATTTTTGTCCATAACGTTACGTAACCTTATTTCATTTGGAATACAAAATACAGCGAACTTCATCGCTTTAAAAATCTTACGTTTGTCGATTGAGGAAGTCAATACAGTCAGAAGATAGAAACTTCATTGATAACATCAGAATCGTTAAAGAACTCGGGCGAATAATAAATGAAAAATACGTGACGGCCCGAATGACCTTTTTACATTTTTCAAAACGCGTCACTACGACGCATAGGGGCGGATAGATGGATGGAGTCTACGTGATGCCTGACTGTTCATCTGGGGATAAATTGAAAATTCTTATACCTATTTGAGGATGTCGATATTAATGTTCTCGCGAGATGAAAATTTTAATAACTTTCATTCACCAAGGAACCAATTTAGGGCCTATATTAAATATATTTATACCCAATGGCTAAAACGTGCTGGACATCTTATAGAGAACTATGAATTCTAGTGAAACAAAAGAAAAGAGATAAGTAAGTTTTGACTGAATGAATCAAATCAGTGAGTCGTGAGTTCGATTTCCAGCGAGCCCAATATTCTTCGGAAAGATGTTAGATTTTGAAATCTGGAACCAAAATCGTGGTAGGAATGCCGTAATTGCATCCGGATCACGAATGTGTCTGTCCACAGATGAAAAAGCCGTAAAGTTAAATCAGGTACAGTCTGTGGATTTACAAATATCTACATCCAAAATAGTTATATATTGAAGTATTATTAAATGATGAGATGTATTAGTAGCGCTGTATTAGTTGCTAGAAGCAACGATATTGTATTTTTTTAGTTAACACGCTTTCCTATCACACGAAAATATAACTTATAAGCATGGCATTAGGTATTTCAAGGGAAATTTATTTCCTTCTTCCACTTATTAAGTCCATGCCTAGTGTTATTGAAACCGCTTTTTAGAAGCCCATGAAAAATTTGGCGTGCGAGCATCGCGTGCCCTGCGCAATATTTTATTTTCCGAACTATTAACATTCCTGCAGAGACGTTAAGATAATTCCTTGTGGGGTATGGGGATTTATTTTATCTTTCTACCTGATTATTTTTAGGAAATGTTATATTGTTATATTACGTGTTAAATATTATATTTATTATTGTCTCATGTTGTAGCCTTATAATTAATACTTTTATATTTTGGAGGTGTTTTTTTTTTACTTTGGAAATTCAATATTATTATGTAATCTGAATCAATTTTAAGCTTATATAAAGTCTCATTTAAATTTGCTTATTAAATAAATTAAAAAAAACTATTGATATTTAAAAAATACCACACTGTGATTTAATTGGTTAGATAACAGAACAATGTGGATGACGGTTCAAGTACCGCCCAACAAGCAAGTGTTATATAGTTTTTTAAATCTTAATAGATTTATATTTTATTTAATTTAAAGGTTTTAACTGATTATTAAATTTAGAATGTTTAAAGAGTCTTTAAATATACATTACTTAAGATACGTTGTAAAATTAATACAACATATGGAAGATTCTTCAATTTCGCATTTTTGGAAGTAATCCTTAGTAAATGACAAAGAGAACTACTTCTATTAGTCCTGTTCCCAAAATCAGTAGCTATAAAAACCCTTAAGCATAAATATATGTTATTCTTTATAAATAACTAATATGTAATAAAAGATACCGTCTACTGCTATTACCACATTTATCTATTCCAAATGCGCGATTCAAATCCAACGTCAAAAATAATTTTCCTGTCCTTTGTCCTGACTTGAACTAACTTTCTGAACTTTGAATATGTTTTAGTTAAAATATGAATTTAAAACACGCGATTCATATATTATATAGCAAGTTGGTTATCTTTGACAACCGGCAAAGGAAGTCTTATTCCTGATATTAAATCAAATTAAAATGATTTAAACTTACTATTTTTTTATAGCAGAGCAAATACAAGCACATGTAAATAAAACACTTTAATGGTTTAAAACGCGATATAGTAGTTAAGTAATATATCGCGTTTTAAACAGTTAAAGTGTTTTATTTAAACAAGCACATGGTTCAATTGATGAAAGATCGATTTTATTTATATGTTGTTTTCATCTATTTAAATAAAACACATTTAACAGTTTAAAACGCAAAATGTACTAGTTAAATTATTTTGTAATTATGCCGTACGACATTTCGAATATTTTGCAGCAGACCCGGTATTACGGTAAAATTTGAATTTTTTCACCCATTTCTCTCTGACTCCAGAATCTGAAGTTTTTTACAGCTTTCATGATCACGTCATTGTCCGACATGATAGGATGAAAACCAGAATGATCGAATAATAGAACCAGGTACTGTTGACCTATTTTGACTATAATCTACAGACTGAAAACAAAATGTAAACTGAAAATTTTCAGTTTATCCGTATTAATGTCCGGATCTCTCTTTTACACTTGAATACTGCCTCTAGATTACACGAATTTAATTTAATGGTTTAAACGCGTTTCGGGTGCTTTGCAGCAGCCGTGGTCACGCGGAGATTGTGGAAACGTCAGACATGAGTTAAAATAATCTCCAAATAAGTTTAACTAATACATATCGTGTTTTGAACCGTTACAATATTTTTTAATTTCACAGCTTCCTTGACCTGGAAGCAAAATAATCAATTACCTATCTTTACTTACCACCGGACAAGCAATATACAATGTGAAGTTAAACCTGTGTCGTTTTCCTTTTCCATTCTATTAAATTGGAGAAATCCGTATACTAAGAAACGTATTGTCTGTTAAGGCCGTTATACAGGACAGACATGTCGAAGCAGCAATTTCAAAAGACGCTCATATCCTATGAACTCATTGATTTCACGGCTCGATGGCCCCCCAGAAAACAATCGAAAGGCCGTCTCCTGACATTTGATAGAATGTTCCCCGTACCATGAATAAGTCGGCTTTTATTATTTTTAGATATCCTTTCGAAGTAAGCATCTATTCATTTCGTCTTAAACGCTGATCGCCATATTAATGTTTATAGTTAAGTGGAATTTTATCTCGCCCGCTTGTAAAATGAAATTTATAATTACATTTATATTACATATATAAGGACTGCAAACAGGTTGGATCGTCCAATGCGACAGAGAGCAAGAAATCTAATTAATCTAAAAAATTATAATCAATCGTATACTAATGATTATAATCACGAAGAGTTGTTTGTTTGAACGCTATGATAGCAGGAACCTAATTGAGTGCAAAAATTACTTTCGTACGGTTAGAGCATGAAGGAAACGGGGAAAATTATTAATTTTTTAGGGTTTCAAGAAATCAAAAAAATATGTATGAAAAATTTGTTCCTCTTTAAATAATCTAAAAAAAGGTCCGCGGCAGAAGATCTATCTTTTCAGATTAACTCGCAAGAACGACGGGACGTGAGCGACGTTGTCGGTAACAAATACGATGCCCAAAATAACTACGCGGAGGAAATCGCAGGCACAGCTAGTGTACCTTATATAACTGCAAATATAAGAATAAAACTTAAACCAAATGTGGAATCTCGGTTCTTATACCGTGCTTAGTGAAATCCCGTTTCTCCTCGTGGGGCATGGGGCGAACACATTTCTCTGTCCGTGTCACTGATCGCTTCTTTTACAGGCAAGTAGATCAGATATTGAATTTGTACCCATCGAACCCGAACTCTCACGCTTAACGCAACACGTTTAACCATTTGGCTGGCTACACATTTCTTGTCTCTGTATTTTTTGACATCTAATTAGTTAAGTCTTTTATTTTCCCGATTTCGAACATGGGCTACTGCAGTCTTTTATCATTGAGGTAAGTAGACAATTAAAAGTTTCATATTCTGACTTGTTAGTAGTTTTATGTTAAGTAAATCAACATAAAATACTAACGTATTTGACTTGAAAATAGCGAATGAAATATACGAATGTTTAATTTCATTAGCGAGATACTATCGCGAACACAACTCACAATTAAATTAATGTGCAATACAAAGAGTGTAAATTAAAAACCTAACCCTATCGATGGCGGCGTTCGCGTGACGTCACAGGACTCGTAAATTCCCGAGTGTTTATTTAGCATTTTTAAATTCATTACTCTGTAATGGCGCTAAACAGCGGTATAAACGTTTTATTCGTATCCGTGATTTGAATTATGCGAAAGTTGCTGTAATAACTCACGAGGGCGCGCCTTAGTCTACGAATTCTGACGGTATTTTACTATATTATAGATCATATATTAACTACCGTCAGAATTATAGAGCTGAAGAGTTTGTTTGTTTAATCTCAATAACTACTGGTCTGAATTGAAAAATAATTTTTTTGCGTTTGCTGGACCATTAATCCAGGAAGGCTTTGGCTGTAAAAGGCTGCAACCAATAATAGGGGTTAAAAACAGTGGGAAATGTGGAAAAATGGGGAAAATTACTCATCTTTAAGGATTCCTAGCATGCGCTGCGAAAACGGTTCAAGGTACCGAAAAAATATGTGGAAAGAATTATTTTCCTAAGAAATAGAGTTAGTAGTCTATTTTCAAAATTTTGGTATATTTAATTTTGGTTTCCTTTAAAATAGTTTTTAAATGTACATATCACTTAGTTTTTATTTGAATTTGTCTTGTTGTCTTCAGTACGTTTACGTTAGGTTATATATTTTACTCCTAAATACTGTCTTGAATACTCATTAGTTTACGCGA